GAGAGTGTTTTGTCTTGTTTTGTTGCTTCCCCTCAAAGTCCCCAGCATCCCAGGACACCAGGTGGAAGCCTTGGGTATGGGAATATTCTTTAATGATATTCACTGGTTCTCAGCCTAGTCAGTTCTAATCAGTTTCCCAATAGGAAAATCATGCTTTCCTAGAGGAAGCACAAATGTTACCATCAGTCAACGTAAGCATTATCTTGAACATACAAATGCTAAACTTACAGGCAATGCACCCAAAATGGCAGCACATCCCTCTCATCTCTCCCTATAGGGTCCCTCGGTGATGGGGTCCTCATGCTGCCTGGATCTTTTACAAGCCCACTTGGGCCTGCTCCACTCAGGGAATCCCCTGCCAAGGAGCTGGTGGACTGACTGTCACTAAGGTGACAATAGCTGCCTGGGAGTTACTATTACACTCAGAATGAAGTAGGTACGTTTGGAAGGGGAAAAAAAACTTTAACCTAAAGGTATAAATCTCCAAAGGCATAACTGAGTCATCAAGATCCAGAATAGCAGGGAAGATATGCCCCACTCCAGCCAACTCCCACACGAGCACACATACAAAAGGGGTTCCAGGCCACCCTACAGGTCACATGGCACAGGTAAACAAAAAGACCAAACCTGCTGCCGTCAAGTTCATTCCAACTCACGGCAACCCCATGTGTTACAGAGTAGAACTGCTCCAGAGGGTTTCCCTGGCTATAATCTTTACGGAAGCAGATCGCCAGGCCTTTCTCTTGCAGTGCCACTGGATGGGTTCAAACTGCAAACCTTTAGGTGGGTGGTCGTGCGCAAACCGTCTGTGTCACCCTGAGACCTTTATGACATGGCAGAACCATTCTATTTACACCAAGTGAGCTCTGGGTTGAGGAACAGGCCCAGTGCCCTTATGGGGGGATCAGCAGCATAACGGGTACGTGGGCTAGAATGTCGGACTCCGTGAAACAGGCTGTCCAGTAGGGAAACTGCTTCTTCACACATCACAGGAGATAAGTTCAATGTGGCTGGGGCAAGCGTTCTTTGAATCAAACTGCTCCTTCTGGACATTAGAATATAAAAGGAACAAAAAATGCCTGACTCCACAAAAGACATTGTTTGAAACATGTTCTCTGTCACAGCCACCTGCCTTTTCATTTAGAATCTGGTTTTCTGTCTCATTAAACAGAAGTGTTGATTCAGTTGGGTACATCTAATTATTCTTATTAAAATATGTAACCATAATATTTTAATTGTAAATTAAAGTTGCATGCACGAATGAATCTGAATTCATTTTAATTTTACAGTGGCCCAATGCCAAGGCCTTTTTATGGGAAAAATCCATCAGCTAGGATAGTGCTCTCCTGGGAATTCAAACCAATGTGCAAATGGAAAATGTTTAACTAACATGGGAGATTCTCACTTTCTTTTCTCCTCTCTCTAGATTTATTACAGTAATAAAGCTATTTTAACAAGAGAGACTACATTTGATTTCCCACCCCCAAAATCTTTAAAAAAAAGAAAAAAGAAGCTGAATTACCAAACTTCTAGGCTGGCACTATCAGTTAGGTGGAACCCAGATGTCATCCCAGCCTTTTGAATCTTAAAACAAAGATGGTAAATAGATCTCAATTGAGGTGCCAACCTTCTGATTAATTAGCAATGTCTGCCATGGGCACCAAGTGGAAAGCATTTACACATACGCCACCTTTGGTCTAGATTCTAGAATAATCATCGATATTGAATTAGGGCTTTATGTAAGTGATTAAGTGGGACCTGAATTGTTTTCCACTGAATAACCAATTCAACCACTAGGATATTTAAAGGATTCGACAAAAACCTCCTCCACTTCTAACTGGCATTGACTACAAGGTGCTATTGGGGAAGGCAGTGAGATAAAAATACCTTTTATAACTGAGGCATCCGGAAAGCCTCTTCTTGACTTCTAAGCTGAGGCCTGAAGGGTAAGGAGGAGTTAGCCCGTCAACGTGGTGTGAAGGCTGGGGGAAGAGATTATTCCTGGCAGAGGAAACACATCTGTGAAAGCCTGGGAGTGTAAAACTACATGGACCATTTAGGGCTCCAAAATCTGCTAGAGGAGTGAGGGGTGTACTGGGGTGGCAAGTGGCAGGAGACGAGCCTGAAGCAAAAAACTGGTTCAGATCCTGCAGGGCTCTAGAAACCACCTTTAGGAGCTTGATTTCGTTCTAAGAGCAACAGGGATCTATTTAGAGTTAAGAGCCAGGACATCATCCTGGCTACATGTAGACAATAGATTGATATGTGATGAACAGTAATACATTACAGCATATCCAGAATCTGAGGGCAGTGGCGGTTCAGTGGTAGAATTCTCACCTTTCATGTAAGAGACCTGGGTTCAAACCCAGCCAACACATCTCATGCACAGCCACAATCCGTCTCAGTGGTGGCTTTTGTGTGGCTATGATACTGAACAGTTTTCAGACAAACACAGACTAGGAAGAAAGGTCTGGAAATCTCCTTCTGAAAATCAGCCAGTTAAAACCCTATGGCTCACAACAGTCCGATCCCATTGTGCGTGGGGTTGCCATAAGTCAGGGGCCAACTCAAGGGCAGCTAACAACAACATATCCAGAATGTAGCCTTGCTATGTTCAATTCTTGCTGACAGAAGCTAAATTCCTGAACATTATACCTCTTCTCTACTTGTAGTAGTTTTTTCTCCTTTTCAGCTGAAGAATTTTTCAGTTTAAAATTCCTTAATGTTATAATATTACTATGTAATTATTTATAATAAAGGACTTTTTTAAGGTCAATAAAGGCTTTTTTTTATGTAGTTGGTTAAAATCTGTGTCTAGTTTTTATTAATTGAAATGAGTTTATAACAAAGGGAAAAAAAGCCTCTTTTAACTGGAAAAAAGTCTTTGCTGTTATATTATTATGTAATTATTTATAATAAAGGACTTTTTCAAGGTCAATTAAAGGCTTTGTTTATGCTGTTGGTTAAAATCTGTGTCTAGTTTTTATTAACTAAAATGAGTTTATAATAAAGAAAAAAAACGCCTCTTGTAATTGGACAAAGACATTGCTGCTTTCATCGGTAGCATTTTCCCCACAAAAAAAACTTTTAAAACATGCCTTGGGAATAGTGCCGGCAGGGGGCAGACCCCGCTTCCTTGGTACGGTCTGCCTGGTGGCATCAGGCCAGTGCCAGTATTTCCTGGAGCAAATAATTTGGTCCCAGTGTTATCTAAGGGGGCGGGGAAGTATGCTTGGTCTTTGTACTGTGTAGGGTTACCTCCTGGGGTGGGATGCAGGAGGGCCAACTAGAAAGGGGCACAAGGGCACCTGCTGCGTTGCCAGAAACGTCTACACCTTGATCTGAGTGGTGGCTGCACAGGTGTTTACATATGTAAAACTCCACTAAGTTGTACACATAAGATTAGGGCACTTATGTATTTTACTGTAAATATATTGTAGCCCAATAAAAAGTTAAAAACAAAACAAACGAAGAAAACACTGCCTTTGAAAATGAGGGGAGGCCAGCCTGGAATTAAAGGGTGGAAGTAGGCTGGGCTACTGAGGAGAGCCTGAACCCAAAGATAAGGGTGAAAGAAAGGATGTGAGGTCTAGCGAAGGAGATTCAGGAAGGATTCTCTGAAACAGATTGTTTAGTCTTTTAAACTTGGGCAAGGTGCGTCCAGAACTATGTGACTGTGTGAGTGTGTGTGTATTGTGTGCATGTGTGTGTGTGCACACAGGTGCTCCCTGAACAAAACCATGCGCCGTAGTTCAGTTTCCTTGGGCGCATTAAGCAACCGTGTGTGCGTACTGTAGTAGTCAGGGTAGGACAAATGGAGACTTCCTGGGGAGGTGCTTTCAGGAAAGGTTTGGTGCCATGGTTGTCTTATCCTTCTCCCAGTCAGACGGAAGCTCAGGGAGCTGGAGTTGGAGGCCTGGGAGGTCAGGCTGCTGTCATAAAGGAACAGGCTTGTCCGCATTGTGTGAAATCAAGCCAAGAGATCCAAAAGGCAACAAGCAGAGCAAAACTGGGACTAACGGCACACAGGTCCCCTGGGATGTTACCCAAAGGTGAGAGGATTCAGGCATAAGGCAGTGGAGTAGAAAACCAAGAAAGGAGACCTGAAAGACCAAAGGGTGGGAGGCAGAGCCTGGAAGAATTCTGAGTCATGAGGAAAGACATTTCTCATAAGCAGTGGGTGAGAGAGAACTATACAGAGTACTCCATAGCTCAGTCAACGAAACTAAAAATGAAGGCAGAGGATGCACCAATGATGAGGAGTGGGGAGAACAGGTGCTGTAGGGTGGATACTTTGTTCTTTCAGCAGCCCTCCTCTAGGACTGCCCCACAGTATCTTGACTCTCCACCATAAATTTATGGGTAGTGAATGAGAAACTAATCTCCAGTGAGTCAAAGCTTAGGTTGGCTGCTGCTTTTAATATCAAAGAACCCTCAGGGATTGTCATGGATTGAATTGTGCCCCCCAAAAAATGTGTGTATCAATTTAGCTGAGCCATGATTCCAGTATTGTTGGTTGTCCTCCATTTTGTGATTGTAATTTTATCTTAAAGAGGATTAGGGTGGCATTGTAACACCCTTACTAAGGTCACATCTCTGATCCAATGTAAAGGGAGTTTCCCCGGGGTGTGGCCTGTACCACCTTTTATCTTACAAGAGATAAAAGGAAAAGGAAGCAAGCAGAGAGTTGGGGACCTCATACCACCAAGAAAGCAGTGCCAGGAGCAGAGCACGTCGTTTAGACCTGAGACTCCTGTGCTGAGAAGAAGCTCCCAGACCAAGGGAAGAATGATGCATAACAAGGACCTTCCTCCGAGCCAAGAGAGAGAGAAAGCCTTCCCCGGGAGCCGGTGCCCTGAATTCGGACTTCTAGCCTACTAGACTGTGACAGAATAAACTTCTCTTTGTTAAAGCCATCCACCTGTGGTATTTCTGTTATAGCAGCACTAGGTAACTAAAACAGGGATTATTTATTTATTTTTCTATTTGTGATAACATACCTCTTTCTGTTGTTCTGGAAACATCTTCAGCACAGGACTTAATCAATCTGAAAAATAAGAAATCCACATTAGGTGATTTGGAACTCCCATCTTGAAGCAGATATGCCTCTAACAGCCTCTCACCAGATCTCTCCTGAGAGAACCTGCCCACCCACAGTCCCTAGGAGGCGAATCTCTGCTCCTCCCTATCTGATACCGACTGGACCAAGGTGAACATGGGTCCACACCGGGGATTGAAAATTTGGACCATGGCATGTCTGGAGCAGTTGGATGATGACAGGCTCTCAAACAGGAAAGCCAGGGAGGACCAGGCTGCAGCTGGCACCTATGCGAGTCAAAGGAGTCAGGGTATTTGATCACTTATTTAAGAACTAGAGCCTATATACCACAAAGTTAATAGCGGTCGTTTCTGAGTGGTGGGGTTATGACTGGTTTTTACTTCTTTCTTTTTTGCATTTTTCCAAGGGTTCACAATACATTTGTTACTTTTAAAGTCAGAAAAACATGTATTTTAAAAAAAGTAAAATCTAATGTGTTCATTTACTTTTATAATTTTCCCCCAAAAAACAAAAGATGAGTTACTTTCACTTTTTGAGTTTCATTTCCTCCTAAAATGTTAAGCAATTTTTCTAGTCAAAAAAAAAAAAAAAAAAATCACCAACTTTTTACTTTCATCACATGGGGATATTTCTTCAGTGAGGTTATTTTACATTCAAACTTTAGTACCTGTTTTCCTTATCTCTGCTGCGGATGCTCTATCCTTTGCCCTATGCTGGGTATGTCTGTGACATTGCTGAAGTCCTCCTTGACCTCATTCTCCTCAAGAGGAAACTCTCAGGCTAGGGTCCCTGCCCAAGGGGAGCCGTACAGGGAGCCCTGCTTTGTACCACCTGGTGCTCTCTTCTCCTGGCACTTCTAGAAAAGCCGATCCACAGACCGGCCAGGTACCTAAGGCGCAGCCTGGCACGAAAAGAGCTAGGCAATGCTTCCCTGCCAGCATTTGGACTAGGAAATACCACGAGACTTGGCAGTTCTCTTTGGGAACTGAGGACTGACAGGGACGAGAGGAAAGGAAAGTGAAGAGATCATGATGTAAGGCTTGGAGTTCTGAGGGACCAGAGGTTATACTTAAACAGAGGCTGCAATGTAGATAAAAGACCTAAAAGACCTCGTGACATATTAAAAGCCAAGGAGACTGGTCACCAGAAACACTGAATTATAGGAGGCAGCTTTGGCCGCTGACGTCCGCAGGACAGCCCTGGAGCCAAAGCCAGTTGTGAGTTCTCCTTTCCCAGCAGCCTAAGTGAACCTCCTGGGCTCCAATGCAGTGTCCTTACAATAAGCACCCCTTTACTGAAGGTAGACTGAGGGAAACCCCAATTGGTGCAATCAAATGATAGTTCAATAGCAACAACAAAAGAAGAGCCACACCAAAACATAAAAACTGGGCTAAAGTGGGGTATCCATCCATTTTTTGGGAGAGCCAGCAGAGCAAGCAGAACCATCCGTAAATCAGGCCCTGAACTGTTCTCCCTTAGTCCAATCTTAAAACTCAAAAAAGAAAAAAAAAAAAAGAAGAAAAGCAAATAGCAGAAGTGTAAAATCCAAAGTTAGAAACACATATAAAATTGCCATTTAAGTTTTTCCATTATTTATCACAAAAATTATCTTAAAGAGGATGAGATTTATTAGCAGTCTAGAAAGCACTGGCTCACAGTACATAAAACAATGAAACCACTAACTTACTAATTTCTACAACATACTAGTTCCATTAACGGTCATAAAGATGATGGTAGACCAAATTTAGGGTTTAAAATCTAGTAACAAGTAAAAAAGTTATAGAATTTTAGCCTCACAACTATTTTGGTGGCATTTAGGGAAAGTGCTACCTTAGACTCACAGACAATCTGGACATACTGCATGTGCTTGTTGGGCCTGACCTCCACCTCCCTTCATACATAACACACTAAGGAGGGCCACTGTGAAGATGTGTGAGCGGAGAAGAAAGACAGGACTAGAATAAACAGAATTGAAGAAAAGAAGCCATAAAATAACAGATGTAGGAGAGGGAATTGACCACAAGAGCAGGTAATGCTCAACTTCCTAACTTGTATTGTGACATCCTCTCTCTTCAAACGTAACCCTAACCTAGCCCAGGTCAAATCAAGAATAGTTCCCACGCTTACAAAGGTGCTTCTAATTAGTGATTCATTTAGGCTAATCACTTTTCTCTTTTAAAAAGGCAGATAAATCTCAGAAGTTGGGGGAAGACTACTAGTAATTTGCATATTAGTCTAAATTAGTCCACTCAATTCATTCCTCTTTACTGAGAGCTGCCTCCCCTCCCTTCCCCTACCACCACACAGGGATTCTGATGAGATGAGAAAGAGGGGAAACCATTTGTACTTGGGTGTATGGAGTTCTTTGCAGGCTGACATATACCTCAGTGTCCTGACACAGGAATGTGAAAGACTTGAGAACACAGTCCCCTAAAGAACAGCGGAAAATGCTCTGCCTTCTCTGCTGCCAAAAGTTGCAGAGATATTTCTTTCCAGCTCATTCTACCCCTTCACCTACGAAGAGGACTTTGCAGAAGTAATGCATTGTTTTCCTATCAAAGTATTACCTAAATATACATTAAACAAATGAAGATGCCCACGTTCACCAAAAGACATGTACAAGAATGTTCACAGCCTTGTTTCACTGGTTGTCACACAGTATCTTTTCCCTGCCCTTCCACAGCCCAACCAATTCCACTGCCTCCTCTGTTCTCCATTTTAATGAATGGTATCAAGCATCCTTACAGTGACTCAAGCAAGAATCCTAGAAACTGTCTTTGATTCCTTCTTTTCCCTTACTTTGCAAATCCAGTTGGTCAGCAAGTCTTAGCAATCCTCTCTCTAAATGACTCCTAAATACATTCCCTTCCTGCCAGCTCCACTGCCCCTGGCCTAGTTCAGACTCTCATCATTTCTCTCCGGGACTCTAGTTAGAATAATGTAAATTCCAGGACTCAACATATTTAGCAGGTGATCAGTAAATGTTTGTTGAATAAATGAGAGTGTGTGTGAATGAATAAAATGATTCCATGATGAAATGAATGAGGAAATCAATGAATAAATAAAAAAAATGAATGCATGCTATGTAGAGACTAAGAAAAAATGGAGGAAATGCAACCAAGCAGGCACAAGGCATCAAGTGACAAAGAGAGTGTTACAGGAGGAGGAAGACAGAAACTAACACTTGTTGAGTGTCTTCCAAACTAAACCAGGCACTTCACATACAGTATTATATGTGATTCACTCAACAAAAACCAAACCAGCTGCTGTGGAGTCAATTCCAATTTGTGGCGACCCCATGTGTGCAGAGTAGAACTGCACTCCATATGGTTTTCATGGCTCTGATCTTTTGGAATCAGATCACCAGGCCTTTCTTTTGAGGTGCCTCTGGGTGAACTCGAACTGCCAACCTTTGGGTCAGTAACCCAGTGCTTAAACATTTGAGCCACCCAGGCACTCTGACTCACTCAACAGTCATATGACACATTGTACTCCAGATACAGAAAGTGATGTTCAAAGGAGTTAAATACTGTTCAGAGTCACCCAACTTTTAAGTGGCAGGGATCAGATTCAAACCTAGGTCTCTAGGCTCCAAATTCCATGCTGCTCAGCTGACATAGAGCTTAAAGCATGGGCCAGATTTCAAAAGATAATAATAGCCAATACACAGAGTGCTTCCATCGGACAGTCACTGTTCTAAGCACTTCACATACATCCTCATAAAAATCCCAAGAGGTAGGTACTAATATTATCCCCATGTTACAGATAAGGAAATGGAGGCACAGAGGGGTTATCAGGTAATCTGCCAAAGGTCATACAGCTTCTAAGTGACAGAATTGGGATTTGAGCCTAGGTAGCCCTGCTCCAGGGTCCATGTTTGTAGTCCCTTTAATCTCTTCAGTGGAGAAGGTTAGATGGAGAGATGGAATCCAGGTACAAGGAACAATATGATTTCATGCATGGAAGCAAGAAAGTGCAGGTCAGGTTTGGGAACAAGAAGTGGTTTGCTATGGCTAGAATCAAGGGCACAGTGGAAAATGAGGCTGGAGAGAAACGATGGGACCAGCCACAAAGCTTCCTGTTACCGGTTCATGGCCACATGCTTGTCTTGTTTGATATTTAAAGTGCCTCAGTCTCAGTTTCCTAGTGCTTCTGTAACAGAAATACCACAAGTGGGTGCCTTTAAAAAACAGAAATTTATTTTCTCACAGTTCTGGAGGCTAGAAGTCCAAATCAGGGTCTCGGCTACGTCAATTCCTTCTTTGTCAGTAGCACCAGGCGTTCCTTGGCAATCCTCACATGGCATCTGTCTTCCCCCTCATGTATATGTCTCTGTGTCTAATCTGCTCTTTTCATAACTCAGAAGTGATCAGATTTAAAACCTACCCTACAGGATATAACTAATATAACCAAGAAAACTCTATTTCCAAACAGGATTGCATCCACAGGTATAGGGGTTGGAATTCCAACACAAGTTTTGGGGGAGACACAATTTAATCCATCACAGTCTCCATCTTTCACAGGTAGTGAACAGTTAGAGGAGAGTGTGCTCTTTATTTTCTTAAACAACAGATTTAGTTCCCTTGCATCTGAAGGTAGAAAAGTTAAAAGGCAAAGGAATAACTGATCTTTTTCAAGGTCTTACCAGTAACTAAATGGTACAAGCTGCTACCGCACAGTTCATGGAGATAAACATCAGCACCCTGACCTTTTGGAATTTTTTTTTTCCTACAATTTTCATTTTTAGAGGCTACTTATAACATATATTTTTTTAAATCTCTAGTTTTGTCTCAGTACTTCAAATTTGAGCCAATAAATTGTCATCTTCTCGTGCACAAATCAGTCAAGAATAAACTTATATCTGGGAAACTTTAGTAGAAAAAAACTAAAAAGCAGACCTTGAAAATTAATCTTTAACTCTGACACTGCTTTGGGAAAGGCAAGAGAGAACACGTTTATCAAGATATGTAAGCAAGTCCTTAACTTAG